GTGGTATTAACCATTCCTTTTCCTTTATACTTTTCAATGTTTTCTACTTTTTTTTTATTGTCCCTCCATAAATAGAATCTATTGCAGAATATATTACTAGAAGTGCGCAAGAGTATTTGTGGAATTTGCGAGACTTTCCGGCCCTCGCCGACGCCTCACTCACGATGAGCCAGCCTTCCCGCCTGGGTTTTTTTGTGCGTGTGTTTTTCTTTAGTTTTTTTCTTTTTTTTATTTTGTCTTTTTATGGAAAATTTTTTAGATTTTTTAACTTAATTTAATTAAGATTTTGTGTAAAAATTAGTATTTGGATCAAAATGACGTCATTTTAGCATTTTAAAAAAAACTCACGTTAGCATTTTCCATTAATCAAATTGGACCAAGTTAGCGGAATTTGGATCCTTGGCAAGGGACTGCCTAGGAAGCACGAACACTCTCCGGGGGCCTCCATGTCGTGTCAGACACATGTCGAACGTGTCGGACACCGACACTCGTCCGACACTCTTTTTTTTATTATTTATTTATTTGTGGATTAGAATCAAATTAATTTGATTGCAATAATCATAAAAATGATAATTTATCATGTATATATAAAAATATAAATTTAATATACAACATGTTCCAATGTGTCGGAATTCTTATTTTTTGAGAAATGACGATCGGCGTGTCGTGTTGTGTCGTGTGTCAGTGTTAGTGTTACTTAGGGGCCTGCAAGCCCTCACCGGCCACTAATGAGGGTCGCCTTGCCCAAGTCCTTGTTGGCTATGAGGCGATCCTTACGGATCTAGCAAGGGTCACCTAAGTGAGTTGGTTCTCGCCTGTGGCTTTTGAGGGCGGCCTCACCCGGCCGTCTTCGGGTATTGCCAACCATCACTTGAGATTGGCCACCAACGAAAAGGAAATAAAAAACAGAAAAAGAAAAAAAAAGAGTCAAGGATGAATATGTCATTGACCAGCTGATGAGATTAGGCAATTTTTTGAGACTGATATGGTCACTTCAGGCTCTTATTTGAAACAAGATCTACTTCAGGTCTTTATTTGAAAAAATAAGGACAATTTGGACCTTTATTTAGAATTTTCTCTATGTTTTATGATTTAGTCACATCGAGAGAAAATATTAAACAAAAGCCACGTCAACATTTTTAATTAGACAATTTAAACGAAATTAATGAAAATACTTGATTATACAAATTCGAGAAGTTCTAAGACTTGACTGTACTTTCTCGTGACGAGTTTCGGGATTTTCAATGCACTTACCCCTTATTTTCTAAAAAGTACATGTGAACGAAGAATGTAAGATCCAATGAAATACATAATACCATGCGGAATTTTTGGGTCAACAAGTATAATATGAACTTTTTTTGGTCGAGAAATATTATAAGAACTTTGGGATGCGAGCAAGAAATACAATCATATGATATTCCACCTCATCAGATCAACCACGCCTTTTGACCCAAAAAAAAAAAAAAAAAAAAAAGATCAACCACTCCAATTCAAAATACGATGGCGACAGCAGGAGCGAACGGAGCACATGCTTGTTGGAGGGACCTTCCCTCCTCCCTCGCTCCTCCTCCTCCGCCACTGTTCGTTCGCCTTCACCAGCCCGTCCACCTCCCGATCCCCGAAAACCCCCCCTGATCGCCTCCCCTCCGCCCCGCCGTCTCCGCCGCGACAGCCCCGCGTCCTTCACCGATGGCGGATCTCAAGCCCAGGTCCGAGATTTCGTTCGTCGAGACCTTCTTCTGCAGCGCCCTCGCCGCTTGCTTCGCCGAGGTAATCGCCGATCGCCGCTCCGTTTTGTGTTTTTTTCCTGGACGAATCCGAGCCTCGCGCGCGACTGTAATGCTGCCAAATTTTGTGTCCGCCGTTCGGTCTTCGCTTATGTACTGTGTTTTAGCTACTGCGTGGGATCTTGTTGATTGATGTCGTTGAAGATGAACTTGGTTGGAACCGATCTTGTCTTTGTGAATGAGGGCTCGAATTATATCCTGCTCTTGTCGTGCTTCATTCGGCTCACAACTGTCCTCAGGTGGCCAAGAAAAGTAATAGAAAGGCACGGCAGCGCAGCTGAAGTTCTCTATAGCTGTATGAACAACTCTTGCCTTGTATACGGATTCCTCACTACAAGTCGCTCTTGGGGTGTAATTGGTAATTTTCGTCATTTCTTGTATGGTTTGACCCCTAAGAAGACAAAATTGGAGTTGGCTCTGCTTTTAGCTTGTTGGATTGGATGCTAGATATTCTGGGGGCACACGATCATAGGAAATATGGGCTTCGGAATTAGCATTATCATCTCTTGTTCCGAATCGACAAGTGGTCAAAGGGTCAGAGGCGCACGATTTCCCTTTTGTGCACATTTGTTCTCATCAGCTGCTAATCAGATGTAAATTATCAGAGACATTTTCCCCTCCTTTTTGTGGAGCCTTCCTCATGGATGTTCTCCTCGTAACTTTCGTGACTAGTTATTGGTTTTATCTGCTCATGGCTTCTACTTTCTGATCCGAATTCACGTATTTTTTGATCGGTTTTATTTTTCTGACCAATTGATCGCCCTGAATCTTACTTTATTACTTTGCGAAGTTCTGCACCATTCCTATGGACACGGCTAAAGTCAGGCTACAGCTTCAGAAGAAAGCACCGGCCGGAGAAGGAGGCCAGGTACCTAAATACAGGGGCTTGTTGGGTACTGTTGCTACCATTGCTAGGGAAGAAGGACTACCGGCACTTTGGAATGGCATTATCCCAGGGTTACATCGTCAATGTATATATGGCGGCTTGAGGATTGGATTATATGGTCCTGTGAGTCTCCAATGGGTTCTCACAACTATCTAAATTGATGATTGCTGTGGGTAAACTGGGCATTACAGAGGTTTTTTGTTAAATAGGTCAAATCATTTTTAGTTGGCAGTGACTCTGTTGAAGACACTTATTTGTTCCAGAAAATACTTGCTGCATTATTGACAGGTAAGTATCTCATGTGACTAATCAAACTACTTCCACTAGTTAAGTTTCTGTCAATTTGTACGATGAAGGTAGACGCCTGTTGCTCTACTTCCCTTTATCTGATTGCGTTTCCCATTGTCAAACAGGTGCGATTGCAATTGCAGTGGCTAATCCTACGGATCTTGTTAAAATTCGACTTCAGGCTGAAGGGAAACTGCCACCTGGGGTGCCAGGTCGTTATTCTGGAGCTTTGAATGCTTATTTTACAATTATGAAACAGGTTAGCTAACAATTAGTTCCCATTCAAACTGTGGCATGTCCCCGTGGATGTTACTTTCTAAGCAGATCGATCCAATCTCAAGGACCCAACCAAGAAAACTTTGATCATTGACCAACCCGAGTCAACTATTTTTGGGTTCAGGGTTTAGGTATCTATTTCTTGAGGAAGGGGGATGTGCTCCAGATAAAAATCACACCGAATGGATTCTGTTTAGATGTATCTTCTGTTAACAAATCGATTTTATACTCAGGAAGGGTTGGCGGCTCTTTGGACGGGTCTTGGACCAAATATAGCACGGAATGCTATTATAAATGCAGCTGAGCTGGCAAGCTATGATCAAGTGAAACAGGTAGCGCTGGGTTTGTTAATGTCCTATATGTTTTGTAATGATCATAAGCTAGTCTTACTTGCTGCTTCTATTTTATCTTGTCCTAATTTCTCTGAACTTATGCAGATGATTTTGAAAATTCCAGGGTTTATAGACAATGTGTTTACTCAACTCCTGGCAGGTCTAGGCGCAGGGTTCTTTGCTGTCTGCATAGGTTCTCCTATTGATGTGGTAAGCTCTTGTGTAATCAACAAAAATTAAATCAAGAAGTCTTCATAATGTTTGTCATCCCATTACATGATTTTTGTCCTTCTCCTTGGTTGGTGCATGAATCTAGTTTCATCTATCTGTGATGATTGGAACTCTTGATCAGCACCCTTACATCATCATTACGTGGCTGTAATGCTGCGCATTTTCAGGTTAAGTCAAGAATGATGGGCGATTCGACATACAGAAGTACTCTTGATTGTTTCATAAAGACTCTAAAGTACGAGGTACATTAGCTTCTATCAAATTTAATCATTGTCCAGTGACTGCACTGCACACTAAACCACTCTGAAGATGCTGTACGTTAACAAGCGAATGCTATCTCTCTGCTCTTGCCATGTTGTAGATTTTCGTTTCTGTTCCAAATTCCAATGCACTGTCAATTCTGTAGATTTTGGACCTGAATAAACAGAATGGATTCTGTGGCCACCTTTTTTCTTATCTATTCTTCGAGTCAACTGACTTAGATGATGGAGTACACCTATGCCTCGCCTAGTTTATAATCTTATGCAAGAGCCTTCAACTTCGACAGGTCTCTAATTTACACTGATTTACTGGCAGGGTATTTTTGCCTTCTACAAGGGTTTCCTCCCAAATTTCGGTCGTCTGGGATCGTGGAACGCCATTATGTTTCTTACCTTCGAGCAAGTAAGAGCATAGATTACATTCTCTTTATTGACTGGGCATGTTGATTTCTGAGATGAAAAGAGTACTGATTGTCGATCTCGTTGTGAACCGACTAAGCAGGAGTACCCTGTTATTTTTTCTGGGGGTAAATTGCATAACTTTTCTGTATGGTCATGATAGGCAAAGAGATTTTTTGTCGGAGCTGCATGAGAGAAGTCTTGCTCATTCACGTATGGGGTAAGCAGGAGGATGCAGCATTGTCCCGGAGCTTTGCCGAGTATGTACCGCTGCCGCGCAATCGCCGAAGAGGCTGTCATGGGAAAGAGTCGTGTCCCCCTCAGCCGATGCTCTATTGCATTTATCAACTTCATGAATAAAGAACTAGTGGCGTAATTTCCCATGCCAAGAGCATATTTATGGGGCGTCAATTCTTTCTACGGAGAGACTGTAAGCCATGGACCAACTGATGTGATACCCGCATAATTTGTTAATTTATTGTGCCAGAGTTTAGGGGCAAGATTTGCTTGCAGGACTCGCATTTGTTGCTTGTGCTGCTTCTTTTGAATGTATCCATTCACGCTAAAAAGAGTGTCTTTCGAGCCTTGCTGGCTCAAAGCCTTCCCACCGCATCCCCATAACAGATACACACCTAAGCTCTAAGCATAAATTATTATTAGTGCACTACCAAAAAAAAAAGAAAAAGCAGAAACCCTAGCCTCGACCACTATAATTAGGAAAATGCAGCTCCAATATCACGCTCTGGACACCAGATAAACCCTAGCCTTGACCACCGACCCGTTCCCTAGCTTGAACCCGGGGCTCACCGGGAAACCGACCACGTGACCCGCCGGCACCTGCCCCCGGCCCGAGAACTTGACCACGCTCTCCATGTACTGCGGGTGCAGCTCGGCCCCTCGGCTCGCCTCGAACAAGCTCGGCGCCGGGTCCAGCGAGAAGGCCAGCAAGTGGAGCAGCCACACCGCCTTGGCCAGCTTCAGGAACTCGCCGTAGAACTCCGTCCTCGGGTGGCTCCCGCCGGCCACCAGGCTCCGGTGCTCCAGGCTCCCGAAGAAGGACTCCTCCATCTTGGCGTGCACGATGGCCAGGTACTTCTTGGAGCAGAACTTGCCGAAGTCGCAGCTCGGCAGCACCCCGAGCAGCTCCACCGGGTCCATGGCCTTCATGTCCCGGTACCGCGCGAAGCAGTCTCGCCGGTACTGGCCGGGGTTCAGCAGCGACGAGAGGCTCCCGTCCATGTAGAACGTCTCGTGGTCGAACCCTTGGAAGACCTTGCGCGAGATGTAGGACTCCAGCGCGTACTTGGCGTGGTGGACCCCGACGATCGACGCGTTCGCGGCCGCCGCCCCCGCGCCGCCGGCGGCCTCGATCGAGCGGACCGCGGAGGCGATGTCCCAGTGCGCGGCGCGCATCAGCGAGAGGAGGAGGGAGGTGAAGGACTTGGACGCCTCCCGGACTTGGCTCATCGTCGCTTCGAAGAGCTCCGGCGCCGGCGACGCAGCGACTGCAGGAAACGGTTCACCAAACGTGAGCGGGCAGCAGAATATGCGAGATCGGAAAATGAGGGAGGGAGAGAGAGAGAGAGAGAGAGAGAGAGACCGAGAGATTGGCTGCAACTGAGTCTCCTCTTCGACAGAGACCGTCCTTTCTTCCCGTTGAGACTGGTCGAGCTCCGGAGCTTCTCCTTCAAGCTGTCGACCTCCGCTTCCCTGGCCTTCACCTCCCTCTTCATCTCCTCCAGCGCCGCCTCGTACGGCGCCACCACCTCCCTCACCTCCGCCGGTCGGCTCCCCAGCCCCCTACCACAGCCGCCGCCGCCGCCGGCTCCCCCGTGGCAAATCAGGCTCCGACGGTACCTCTCCCTCAGGACCGCCAGCCTCCTGAGCTCCGCCACCACCGCCACGTCGGCGACCCGCATCTTCTCGGCGTCCCAGGGGCAATGCGCATCCTGCAAGCTCACGTAGGCTCTCTTCATGGCCGACACCGTGTCGAACACGTCGTTCATTATCACCTCCATCTCCACCACCAGCCTCTCCGCCCTCATCTCCCTCTTGCTCCGCTCCCAAACCTCCTCAGCTCCTCCCTTCTCTTCACTCTCCTCCTCCACTTCGTCGTCTTCTTCCTCCTCTGGGTCCTCTTCAATTCCCCGTCGAGGGTCGCATTCTTTCTCCCCTTCGTCGGGGTCGCTCACCAGCTCTCCGGAGTAGTGCCGCGTCGCGGCCAGCGGATGGAGCAAGCAGGAGGCGGTCACCCGCTGTATCAGATCGGAGAAGTTGGAGACTTTGCCGGCCATTCCTTCCTCCGTCCGTCCGTCCGTCCGTCGAGTATGTGGAGGGAAGAGGATGGAAGGGGTGTTCAGATCAGATGCACCTCCACCGCCATCATCCGTGAGGCTTGATCACTGAGCTCGGTCAATTCTTTAATGGGACATAGATTCTCGAGCCTTGACATGACACCTCTCTCTCTCTCTCTCTTAATGTCTGACCACCCCGGGGAAAGTGGGGGTGCGCAGGATAGAGGAGGCGCCACACCCGTTGACGATAGCAAGGAGCCCGACACATTCATGGCGAGTATTTGTGTACTGGAGAGGGAAGTCAACGGAAAGTCAGGGCAATGCAGATGTTACGTATGAGCACCGAACGGTAGTAGTTACTTCTGCCAAACGATAAAGGTGAGTGTTCGAAGAAAAACGAGGGTTTTGTTTGTGGGCTTTAAGGTTTTTGCATATAAGGCAGCAGCATCACGGAAGACACACCAGATCAAATCCCCCCTTTTGGTTTTTTATCGGCTCCTGGGCTCTATTCTTTGCGCTGTCGGAAAGCTGCTTTTTTTTTTTCCGTCTCGCTGAAAAAAAAAAACAAGGGGAAGATTAAAAGGCAATTGCCGTGAAAAGTGGAATGTGTGCTTCTCTACTGACTTGGGGGATGGAAATGTTAGAAACAGTACGCTAAAAATATATATTGTCGACCCCCTCCCTTTTTTTTTTTCTTCGTTTTGAAATTTTGGAAAAAATGATTTGTCCAGACATGGTATCAGATTCAGATTAATGTGCCCCGTATTTATTTCGCACGTGAGGCTCCACGCTCATTGATTTCGTGTGCAATTTTCAATCCAGTTCGCACTTGCCGTTTCCAGGCCCCATATGTGCAAATTTTAACGCTAATTTACATTGGCCTAATTTCCAGTGCGCCAGACAATGTTGTCGTGGATTTTACTTCTCTTGGCCTCAGTGAGCATATATTATCTCAATGGATCCTACAGTACGTCTGTAACACATGCAATTTTTGACAAAAGAGAAAGAGCAAAAACATCAAGGGAAGGTGCGTTTGCCGGGAGTCGAACCCGGGTCTAGTGCTTGGAAGGCAATTATCCTAACCGTTGGACTACAAACGCTCGATATGCTTCTGTACGTCACGCTTACAAATTTAACTTAACAATGAAAGGTCATTTTCCCAACCAGAACACGCGCAAAGGGCCGGTTGCACAAATTTGTAAGCAGAACTGAAAGATCGGCCGGGACAATAAACACAGAATATGATGAAGTTTGTAAATCATCCTAGAAGGCATTCTGTGATTTATATATCGACGAAGATTGGAAAAAAAAAAAAAAGAGAAACACTTCAAATCCTCAGGTCATAAGGCCAATGTTCTGAATTTAGCGACCTCACGCCAGAGAAAAACGAAGCTCAAAGCACGAATGCGCCAATTGCAACCGAAAAATAGTAAAACTATGAAGCTCATCTTATGCGGATAACTATCCGATTGAACATGGAGCAATACCGCGACGCACAAGCCGAACTGCCTAAACGAATCACAAGAAAACCAATGCTCCGAGCATGAAATCCGCAATTACTCTCCCCTTCGCTGATCCCAAACCACGTAAACAGAAAACGAAGAGAATGACAACGAGTCCCATACCTTTGGCTCGAACGATAGTGCCGGTACGGGAGCGGCAGAGACACGATGCGAAGGGCGGCATGCTTACAGCAAAAGAAGAAGCTTAAGAGTCATGGCAAGTACCGATTGATGTAATCGAAGCGGTGGAGGAGGAGGAGGAAATGAAAACTGGCTAAAGAGCGTGAGGATTAAGGACAGGAGCGTGAGAGGATCTCATAATTTCAGGAATTAGGAATTTTTGAAAACAAAAAATGGAAACCAGACCAATCCCCGTGAGAACCGCCGATTCTAGGCCAATTCGGTCCGGCTTTGAGCGATCATACCAGTTTTCGATTCTTTTACACACCCCTAAAAGTAACCGTGCTAAGAAGCCTTACGTGAGTATAGCGTGCCATATCGTGCCCGATGGCCTCAATTGATTGTGGCAATCCTCGAGGTCCTGGAAATGCATTAGTCCTGTCATCTGTACCCATTATGGAAAATTCTGCTAGAAAGATCGGTCCAAGCACCGTGCCCGAGAGTCAAAGGCGGGTTTCGTTGAAGTAATGTACTAGATGATGCTTATGAGGAAGGAAATACCTCCTTACTCGTTACGATGTCGAGCGACAATAACGTTCTATTTCCGTCGAAAGCGCTGATTCGTGGACATTTTCGTGCCTTAGCGAGAGAGCAACACTTGTATCTTTATATTAACTATGAAGCAAGTCTGGATGAGTTGGCTACTGAAAACAAAAAGGCAGGACCAAGCACATCCTTCGACTGCTCAGACCAATCTCATGGCGAACATGTATAAAATTTGGACCCCCCCAAAAAAATAACCAAGTGTAGTTCGACCTGCTCGCATCCCCAGATCCCAAAAGGTACATCAAGTTTCTCATACTCCAGTAACATACAAGCTAGCAGCAAAGACAATATCACGCTTTATGGCATTGGAAGCCGATTCCATTTTCTTGTATAATGCAGAATTACCCATTATCGACGCTGCATTTTTTAATTCCCGACATGTCTCATCCAGTCTGACAATGGTCCGTACTATAAGGCCTTCGGGAACATCAGTGAGCTCACAAATATCAGCAAATGGAGTGCCCTGCATGAGGAAGACCTTGAATTGATCAGCCATTCAAGAACATAGCAATAGGTCAAGCTCAGAGTGTTTAAAAAATGAAACCTTTGCCCATTCATAAACCACTTCGACCAGACCAAACTTTAGATTTTCTCGAGCATATTTCTCGGGGTTAATCTGTAGGTTGCATTGGGCTTGGAGCTCACCAAGTCTTATTGCTGTTTCATATAATCTGTATAAGAGTACATGTTCAATGAGAATGCATATGATGTTATGGATACAGCAATGCATATTGAAGCAAGTAATTCAATGGCCACTGCTTTTTTTTTTTCTTTTCACATGGCAAAGAAATTTTCAGGATTTGACACATTAGGTGACCGAGAATGAGAATTCACAACTGACAAGTTCGACCTTATAGACTCATTTATCTTTTATGATTGCTTATAGGCACAGGTCATGTTGGAAGATTCTCCTACAGATCACTAGGAAGAGATCAGAAAAAAAAAATGGTGTAGTCTACATCCCATATATAATTTTCCTTAAAGATACAAAAAGGACAGTGAAAACGAACAAAGACAAGCATGGAAAGATAGATGAAACCAAGTATACAGCCAAAACATGATTAGAGATCCCCAAGAACCTAAACACCAAGTTCCGCAGTTGGACTTAAAATCAGAGACCATTTGTGTGAGGTCAAGTAAACCTAAGCATACATGTCCTATGGCTCCCTATCTGCACAGGCCCTTGACAGAGGCACGCCAGATGACAGGTGCAACACACTGCTGGCAGCAGGTTCAATCAGAGAATATGAAAGCTTTTCATTATTGGTCCTAAGCGAACAAGGAGGGGAAAAGTTAAAAGGAATAGGCTGGAGGAAAGAGTAACCTTTGCTTAGCCTGAAGTAGCTTGGGGGTAAGAGAAGGTTCAGAAGTATTTCTCTGCTGGAACACAAAGGCAGACATTATAGCCACTGCTTCCTCTGGTTCCAAGTCATCTAGCTGATTCTCAAATAGACACTCTGTGCATATCAACTCCTCCCCAGAATTCATTTCGCAGGCTACACGGCCTTTTATTTGAACAACAAGGTCAGTATCAATGCATCCAATTTCTTTCAGAACATCTACCTGCATATTGAACAAAATATACCAATGAGAAGTCTCACAAAGCACAAAACTTCAATTTGCCCTAAACTTAAAAAATGATGATGATAGACACTAATATCGTCACAATATTACCCGGCCCTGAAACTCTGGCATCTGTTGAAGTGCTTCATCAGACATTTCAAACTCAAGAGCCTTAACCTCTTCGTTACGCCCCTTTATTTCTTTTGCCAACTTCATATGCTCCTCCAATTTAATACAACCATGACACTTATTCTCCGCCATGTTTTGCAGTAGGGAATCACATTTGCGATAGATCTCCACAAGATCCAAATCTCTCAACTTTAAGTCTGAAATATAAGGTTGTAATCATGTGAGAATAACCAATAAAAATATACCCTAGATTACAGGCAGCAGCAATTTGATAAAGTAAGCAACTTGAGCCTTGTCAGTAATGCAGCTCCAGGAGAACAACTGCTTCACATTTCAGCAAACTTGTCTGAACAGACCACTTTATCATAAAAGCTATCCTCTCACCAAGACTTTTTACTTGAGCAATTTAAAAGTTCCCCCACTACAAGGTGATATGTAATGCACCTTTGAGTTACAACACAAGTAAGGGTGCGTTTTGTTCACTAATACTTTATGATAAAGGAATATCATTTCCATGGAAATCATTTTCAAGGAAAACGGTTAGTTTTCATTTGTTTAGTGGTTTAGGGAAAGTAATTTCCTTCTTGCCAAAGGGCAAGCCATTTTCCCCAAATCTAAGCTTGTTGTTTTCTGTCCATGAAAAACATTTTTCCGTAAATCAATTAGGTTTGCGCCATCCAAATACTGGAAAGTTGGAAAACAAGTTTGCCGGAAACAATGTTCCTTCAAACAAATGGACCGTCAATTAAAGTATGAGATAGATTCCTCTCACCAAGACTTTTTGTATGAGCCAATTAAAAAAAATCCAAAGGTTATCTACACTACAATGCACATACAAGTTACAACACGTGTATGGTATCAACAATTCCCATGGCTGTTCAAAGTAAGAGCTTGTGCTTCCTCTAGGCGACTAGCATGTGTACCCAACTAACTACTTTTCCTAATAGCCATGGACTCCATCATTATTAATTTGTTTTCTTATACATAGCAGATCACATGTGTACTCAAAATGGATTATGTAAATGATGCATTCATATATCCTTTTCCTTCTACTTAAAAATACGTCAGAAGTACACAACTCTTTTGACATGTGAAGCAGTCTCTTAAAGCCACTAAGACATCCTATGATGCTAACAATGAAGATAAACGATCCACTATCAGTCAGCGAGGCGCGATATACTCCCCTCTGCTTCAACACCATTTGGAAATCAATTAGGCTCTCAGTTAACTAGATCAGAGGAAGATGAGTAGTCCAATAATATAGCTTTGAGGGGTCATCAACTCAACAACACTTTTCAAGAAACTTCAAGAGAATAAGCAATACCTCTCACTGGATCTAGCGCAGGAGGGTACTTATGCCCATCAGATTTCAGATTCAAAAGCTGTTGAACTG